GATTTACTATCTGAAGAAACATGACAAGGAATTAAAAATAAAATGCAGTGCAAATAATAAACCATCAGAACATAAAAACATCAGGATAATGAAATAACAGAAATAACAAGAACAACAGAAGAAGCCAAGGTCAGGTTTCTCAACAGGTTTCTCTTTCAGGGATCTTTATAGGGCTTTATAGGAGATACCCAACACTTTGAATTGCATCCAGAAGTTTATAGGGAACTACTGCAACTCACAAAGCAGAGATGTTATACTGGTCCACAAAGTCCAAGAGGATTCCCAAACTGTGCACCAGTTCTATCTGGGGAAGTATCCAGGGCCAAAGGTGGAGAATCCCCAAACTCAGGGGATCCCAAAACCCACAACCCATCAGGATCCTCACAGCCTCCAGACACTGGAAAAGGACCCTGACACCATCACTGGGCAGCCTAGATGTATAAGCAGGTATCATTGGGGTATAGATGATACCTAATCTGATATCAATGGATGACCTTGCCCAGAGGTTTCATGTAGATATTAAGTAACAGAGGAAAGAGAGTAGTGCCCTGGATAATCTGAAGCATATAAAGATCTGCTAGATTCTTCTGTATGAAAAGTATTGCAATCTGATATGCGCTAACCTGGAAGTAAGTCCCACTGAATTCAGTAGGATTTACTTCAGAGTTAACTGTGCTACTGTTCATGGCTGATATCTATCTGAGCTTCTTACTACAGTATTTATTAAGCCATAATTTTTGTCCTTTTTTATGTGAACAACACTGCACTAACTGCTCAGTCTCTGGTAATCTTTTGAAAATGGTGATCATTCCTAAACTGATTTCTCATTCTGATTTCAGTTGATTTCTTGCCTCTTCTTACAGCCCATCTGTTTTTAAGTGCTCCTTTTAACTGCTGCTCTGTTGGAGCTGTCAACTTTAATTTTCTTTTGAAGCATGATTTCTTACCTTCTCTTTCACAGATACTTGGTTACCTTTGAATATTGAGATTCTTGTAGTTCATAGATGTTTATGGTAGTATTCATCACACTTACCTTATCCTGGATATTATAATAATTATGAAATTAGACTTTATTTCCCCTTTTTAATTTTGATTGTTGCTGTGTTTATTGATTTTCTGGCTTTTATAATTTTTCTTCCAGGTATTTACTTCTGAATTGTATTTTTCCTTCTTTCTCACTTTAGTTCCTAATCAAAAGAGTATCTTGAATCTGCTGTTTCTTCTTTTCCTCTTATTTCTATCACCAATTTTAATTTTATTAAAATCCCTTTATAGCGGATGACACATTCTGTATGTTATTCTAAGTTCCAACTGTTATTTATTGTACTTTCAGTGTTTCCTTTTGTATTTTCATAATATGTTATTATTTTTAACATGTGCCACATTTCATTTTTATAATTTAAGGTGTCCCTCTTCATAATCTGTCAGGTTGTTCTGGGATTCTTTTTCTACAGGGATTCAACCCTACCATTACCAATACAGTTGCTAAGTTTCTGTCTACAGTGATTTTCATAAGGCATAAGTTGTCCCAACCTTGGAGTGATAACATTATAAAGTCTATCTTTTCTCTTTTATTTTATTTTATTGTATTTTATTTCATTTGATTTCTATCTAGATTTCTTCTTCATTGTTTTACTGAATTTTATTCAATTTTTTCCTTTCTCTAGTTTTTAGATTTTAGATGACTTGTAACACAGTCTTTGTTGTAGTTGGTCATTGCTTCTCGTTTTTTTTTATTTGCTAGTAATTAAATATATTATTGACCATAATTAAATACATTTTATTGGGATTCAAATTACATCTTTCTCTTCTACTCCTTCCACTCAATCTGCTGTTTATTCTACAGCTATTTCTTCTTTGGCCCATCCTTTTCTCAATCTCTCTCTCTGGTGTGAGATAAGAATCCTACATTGTACAGTATTGTGGTTTTAAACTGTCATGACTATAGGATAGACATTTTTTGGTACAAATAAATAAATAAATGTATTCCCCACCATTACTCACTCTGAGGGGTAAGATGGGGCAGAAATAACCCCCTGCCAGTAGACAGTAGCATTTTTGGAAGGGTAAGGGAGCAGCGTATCCCAATGTCTCCTTTTCCTCCAATGGGCAGGTCTCAAACCACAAGGATGTTTCCTGCTGTTGAGAGACTTCAAATAGGGCTGTCTCTCAGTAAGTTGGCAATCTTGGATCCATTCCATCTAAACAAAGCAAGGCTGAGCATCTCAAGGACACCCTCTAAGAGCTAGTGCACTTAATCCCTCTTCCATTAAAACGAATGAGAGGATTAAAACTATACAAAGAGGAAAATACTCCCATAGCCACATCCATATACGCAGGTACAATAATAGCTTCTCTGGTCCCAACATATACATAATAGTATGCATGTCACATTATGGCATTGTAGGAAGAGAGCTGTGTTAGTCTATGGTGGCAAAAAGTCAGGAGTCAGGGACCACCTTTTTCAACTAACAAATTTTATGAAAAAGCATAAATTTTTCTGAGCTGCATCTCACTTCATCCAATGCATAGAGTGGGTAGGCTGATGTGGGATTTCAGTTGGGGTGAGGCAAGAGGGGAAGGGAAGACAGGTTGGCTATGCAGATGCAGTTTACATGTGAGGCAGATTACAAGTACCTTATCAATTAACAATTGTAATGTATTAAAAACCAGTTGTATTTGTTGAGTCCTTCTGAGATTGCCTGAAACCTTTTGTCTAAGTCCAACAATTTCTGTTGATGGTGCTGTTAAAGTCCTGCTTTTCTGAAACACTCACTTTGAGGTTATTTGATATTGTAGTTAAATTTACTAACTAGCAACATGATCATCAGTATATAAATTTGAATCTACAGCTTTGCTTTTGTAGAAAATATACTTTTATTTACTAATGGGACTATAAAGTAAAGTGAGACAAATATCACCTTATTAAAAGAGTATTTTGTGCATTGCATTTTACTGCACATATAAAACTGACTTGCTTGATTTAGCATTTGATAATAAATTCTGAGAAGCTGTAAGTTGAATAATTACACTCCACTAAACCTACAAATGGACAAATGAGCAAATGGCTATATATATCTTTCTGCTGCTAAATTACTGCTTATTTGAATATCATAGTAAAAGGATGGGAATCAGATTACAGTATATTGAATGAACTCAAATAAGGAATAACTGATCTTTTGAATAATCTTTGGGGATATATTTGATCAAAACCCAGTATATTGCTGATTACACTGCTTCTTATGAAATGATTACAATTTTTTCTCTTGGCACTGTTCTGTTTTTAAAAATTGCTATATGCTACCCTCAATTAAGAGAACCACCCTTATCAAGGTGGGACCATTCTTTACTGCTGTGATTCCCATTCAGACCTGTCAACTAGGCTGAATTCAGTACTGTAATGTGGATATGTGTGCATGCAGACAGTAGGGAACTGCTAGCAAAATGATACTCAAGAAGGGGAGGAGGAATGTATCTGCTAGAAAGCCAAGAAGCAGCACATGGAACTGCAACCAACACAGATGTTGCTCTTACTGCTTCAGGCTTGTGAATAAGATATTATCCTTGTTACTAAGGTATAATACTTTGCCTTGCACAGAGGTGAGTAGCTCTTCCCTCCCTCTGCACTTTTGAATGCGGAGGGCTGTAACTGGGGTCTGGGCAGCTCTTGAAAGTTGACTGTTTTCTGTCTCAGAAGTGCTGGTATAGCAGGGAGAGTGACAGCAGCAACAGGGACAAGGACTGGCAATTTTGTGTCTCAAGCACCAACCTCTTCTGTCCGGCACTATAATGGAGATTCAAGCCCGGTGATAAGCAAAAGCAAGACTCGGTGTCTCACTGGCCTCCTCCAAGCATAAAGGAAGTAAGGAGGGGTCATGGATGGATGGGAGGGAACGTTCAAGGCATGCTTTTGGACAACTCTGGACTGAGATTTAAAACAGCAAAAAGATTGGCTAAGAATTATTGCAAGACACCAGGAAGGAATTAGTTTACATTGGATAGTTTGATTTGAAAACATGGCATTATTTACCCAAAACCTCACTATAGCATTGGGCTTCATCTCCTGTCTCACAACATGCAGGGTAGAAGCTCCCTTTGAAAATTTACCAGCGTTTTCCCTTAATAGTCCATAATGAAAGAACACCTTCAAATGGATCCTGCAGTTCCAAACTGGGAGGAGAAATACGCACTGATAATGGTAGCTGAACCAATCAGTTTATGATATCAGTGTAAGACAGCAGTTGAATCCTGGTGCATGGACCATGGATGTGTGAGGAGAGTAAGCGTGACAGTGGCAATAGACATAAATTACCAGTTAATCAGATTTATTAATACAGATAATTTATTTATTTCTCCAGCTAATAGGATAGGAGGAATCCTTGAAGGCAAAATGAAAAGAATAATTTGTTTACAGTATTTATAACATATCTATGCCGCTCTACTCCCAACGGTTCAGATGTGAATTTGAAATACGTTCAAAAAATGTGAATTTGCTGTAATTAAGAGTTGCGTAAAGCATGCATAATAAAATTGGGAAGTCAACTCATGCTCCAATAAGTCGTCTCCTAGACCTTACTGCCACCACCAATTTGCATAGCTATTGTTTAACACAGATTTAAAACAAAAAATAAAAGTTACGGTCTTAAATATCTCTGTTCCTACGCCAACAGAATTCTTGAAATAATTCAAGAGGTCCAAAGACGCATTCTACGCAGGAAGGGATCGATAACAGAGAGGCATTAAACCTCCCGCCCACCTCACTTTTAGGGTTCCGGATGCTAGCCCAAACGTAGCTACAAGCCTTTTCCCTCAGCCCCACCTCTTGGCCCAGCAAGGGGCCACTCCACCTGTAGCGAGCTTGTCGCGCCCGCCCACCCCGTTTATCGTGCCTTGCCCCTTGGTAACGGAGGCGCGGCAGCTGCGTGAGAAGGCGAGCTGCGTGCGGGAAACGTGCTCCCCAGAACTTGAGGCGCGCTGTATATGTACGTGTGAAGCGAAAGATGGAGCCTGATTCTTCGGTTAGTACGAAGCCTCGCGGAGTTCAAGGGATACCCCGACATCATCGAACAGAGTTCGCGCCGCCTAGGGCGGGGATTGGCCGATGGGGGGTTCCTGAGGGAAAGGCGCCCCTAGGCCTGAGAGGGGCCCTTGGAATGGACAGGGCGGTGAGGAGCTGTCTTCGTTGGGGTGGAAAGTTTATGGCGCGGGGAGAGGGGATGGGGAGAGGGCGAGAAATCGCTTCAGACCCAACGCCACGAATGACTTTGACGTCGCTTTCCCGCCAAAATAGGCAAGAGCTCAGGAAGGCTGCCGCTGCTCCTCCTCCCTGGCGCTCCCAAGCGAGACGCCGCGCCCCTCCTCCCCGTTTCGTCTCCCCTCCCCGCCATTCTTGCTCGAGGTGCTTCTCCTCCCCCCCCGCGAAGTGGGAGGGGTCTCCAGCTCCGGCAAAAGTAACGGCGCTCCCGCGCGCGCGCCCCCTACCGGCAGCGACGGGCGGGGGGGGGGGGGGGGAGTCGCGGTTCCGTCGGGCGGCGGAGCGGCGAGGCTCCTGCCGTTCCTTGCCCTTTTCCGTTCCCTGTGGTTGGAGCCGCTTGGCTTTCGCTTTGCTTTTGCAACCATCCTTTTATTCTTCTGTCGAAGATGATCATGAGGTCAATACTCTCGATATCATTAGAAGTGCCGGCCGTGTTAACTCTTTATTAGGGGGCTGAGCAATTTTTCCTAATGAGGTAGGTGAAGGCAAATTCTCCTTTGATTTGAGCTTGACTCTGGTGATTTTATGTGTATATCCACGTGCCTGCCCCCAAAGTTGACATACTGTATAATGGTTTGAATTTTCGTTTGTAATTTGAATATAAACATAGACGAACCAAGAATGGCTTGATTTAAAAGTCTTCAGGAGGACACTAAAAGTATTTCTCAGACACAGTAATAGGGGAAACCAAAAATATTTTGCAGATATAAAATTACAAACACTTTATCATTTATATTATTGTAGGATAATTCTGTATTGTTAATGTGCAGTTAAAAAATAGAAGAACTTTCTAAAGTCAAATAGTTGTACCTTACTATTGTAGATGCAGAAAATTTATTATTTCTTAAGCTTTACAGGAAGAAATAGAAAAATTACAAAATACAAAAAAGGAAACAAATACATGAAAAACTACCCCCCCAAAAAACAGGAAATATGAACAATAATTTTTATATCTTGTCTCTTTCTCTCCTTTTCCCCTATTTGTTTTTACAGCTAATTTTTAAAACATTTTGATACTCAAAAATAATTTATTTTGTTAGGAAATTGGTTAAAAGATATAAGCATGCACTTTTATAAAGGAAGCAAGATCAAATCAAAGAAACACACTTTAGTCATAATGTAAACATTTGTTTAATGTCTGCCATTGAACTGAATAATCCTTAAAAGTGCTTAACTTTTACTGGATGTTATATATTGTATTTTTAATACTTCCAGTTGCAAGACGTTTCCTGAGCAAATTCATAAGATTGAACAAAATTAAAACAAGGAACCCATTACCAACCATAGTAAAAAAAAATTTTATTTTAACTTTGTTCGCTGCCCAGAGTCACTTGTTGAGATGGACAGCCATATAAATTGGATAAATAAATAAATACCTCAAGGAATAAAAATAAAATGTAAAATGTATAAAACATTCCAATAATATAGTACAGGTATTTAAAATTCACAAGTCTGAACTATAAAATATGGGAGTTAAAATGACTGACAGAAGATGGATTTTTTGTGTATCACTGCATAGTCTTCATTGTATGTGAATGAGAGTGGGCATTTTAAAAGGATTACACCTTAAAAAACTGTTTTTTCTGATGTTACCCAACAAGCTTCATTCAGCAAGAATCCTGGAGAAAAGCCTCTGAAGATGATCTTAGGCTCTGGGCAGCTGCATGGAGTTGGGAGCTTTTGCAGTCTGGTGCTTTTCATGTATATTGAAATTTGGCTTTTGGCCATGGTGGCTAATAGTTATAAGAGTCCAGAATTTATGAAGGGCATCGTGTTCAGGGAGATTGCTTTTTAGATATTCTGGTCTAAATTTAGCTGTCAAAGCACTATCATATAGACTACTGGACGTTTCCAGTACATTTTCAAATGTTGCCCCATATATCACATGATATAGTTACCTACTGGGAGCAAGAACATGACTTAATTATGCCAGGTTCTCTCTTTCCAGATAGGGTTGCTTCTGGCTTATTTGATTGTTCAGGAGAGGCAGCCACCTCCAAACCAAATATCCGAGCTGGAGAAACTGACCACTTAATGACTATGCTGCTGTCTTGTCAGGACTGAGTAGTTACTGGTCCTTATCCAGTTAATTACTCTGCTCAAGCTCTGATGCAGGAAGTCCTATATATCATGTCATGTCATGGATTTTGTTGGATATTGATTAAATCTTCACTCATTTTCCTGTATACCATTACCCCATGGTTCCTATAGATGTTAATTAGCTCAGGGGATAAAATGGAACCATAGGAATTCTGATAGGTAACTGCCACAGAGTAACCACCCTTTCTGCAATCTGCTGTCCAAGTAGGAACAGAAGCACCGTACAATAATGTATATAGGTAAAACAGCTTAACTAGAAAGGTATCATAGTTAATAGTGTTGAAAATTTTTAGGACGTCCAAGAGAATCAGTAGAACTGCATTTTCCCAACCATATGGTGCCCAAGGTAGGGGACCTCCACAGTGGGTAAAATATGGTGGCTTCAACTGAGCAGTTGAGGCCTGCCCCTATTTAATCTGCATTATTTCCCAGTGTACTTCTTAAAAAGGGTGAGGCTTTAACTGCATGGGCGATCTTGGTCCAAGGCACTTTCTATCCCCAGTCTTATTCAAACTGAATTGAAAGAGATCTATTTCAGCCTGAAATTGGTCAGCAGTCACTTACTCAAGGACCTTAACTCTCCTTTCATTTATATTACATTTTGGTAGGAGCAGCCCAGTTGCTACCCCTTTCAAAAGAAACTCGTACTGTTCCATTTCTAAAGGAAGAATAATACCTTTAAGGATACAAACAGTTATTCCCTCTGTATTAAATGCAACAAACTAAGTCAAAGTTCAGCATGCAAATAATCAGATTCCTGATTGCATCTTTAGATCTTAATATCCAAAACTTTGAAATAATTGGACTGAATAGTCTAATACCTCCAATAATGGAACCGCAGTGTTTATGAAGTCATGCTGAATACTGGTGATTTTATCTTCAAATGTTTATCATAGCAATCCACCTAGGATAGGACCAGTTCCAACAGTTCTGATTATAATAAAGTATTTACTATCTGGAACAGCTCTGCTAACTACATTGCAAATATGCCATGGATTTGCAAGAGAACTCCTTTGGCATAATCACAGCATACTGCATAATGAGATGTAATATATGATTCAGTCAGTCTAAAATTCTAAATTGTGGTCTAAAATTCTACTTGCTTTACTGTTCCTACCATCAAGATATATCCAGAAACTAGTTTGGCCTTGTCAGGGGAAAAGAAATGCATGGATGCAATCACCAAGCATACCAATTAGAAAATCGTTAGTAGTCTCAGGAAAACAGTACTGTAGAATCTATTAGTTTCTCAAGGAGAATCATTCTGTTACAGTCATTTGCCACTGTAGAGGAAATAAATGAAAAAGTAAAAACCACAACAGTCTTTAACTTTTCATCATGTCTGGGTCACTATCATCCTACCATTAGCTAGAGGGCCCTGATATGTCTGAGTTCCTTGCTCTATGAAGCTGTTTGACATGTATTTAAAATACATCATAACTAGTGAGATAATCACTCTCTTCTTAGGCCTTATGCTTCAGAAACATTTGAATTTGTCATGTTCAAAACAAGCAAGTTAGATCTATTTTTATTTATTTGATGGGAGTTATCATAAATACAAATAGAGAATCCCTATTTTACTAATAGGATTGCTAAGAAATGTTAAGTGTCAGACTTGTGTCCAAACAAAGTTACACAGACATGTCCCTTCAGAAAAAGATGTAAGGCTTATTCATTAAAATAACCATAGGTGACCTAGAGTTAATTAGCAGAACCCACTCATTGGAAGAGTCATCAGGCTCATTTGCCAAAAATATACTGTAGCTGGTCATGTGTGAACTAACACTATATGTATATTCAGTATTACTAGAATTGTATTGGATGGAAACTTTGAATGCATATATGTTGTGTAGTCTGTCAATTTCAGAGTACTTTATACATTGCCAAATACGAATTCAAAACAAATGTATTAGTGTTTTAGAACTATGAAATGCTAACAGTCCATAGCAGGACTACATCATAATTATGTAACAAGCTGTAGAATGATAAACCAATTCAAAAACATCTTCAAAGAAACTCTGATAATACTATAATAAATTGATGATTTCATGGTATAACAAGAAGTTATTTATTGATCAATGTTGGAAAGTTTCAAAAATATTTTTTCCTTAGTTTAGATAGAGTATTCCAAAATAGGTTTAGAAACAAGCATTATAAATAAAGAAATATTCAAATTGATTCATTAAAAAACAGTTCTCATAACGTAGCATAAAATGGTTCGGTCTGATAGTTCAGATTCTTTATTTGTTGACAAAAATTGAATGGCAATTTTTTTTAGTAAACTAATTTTTAACTTAATGGATTTCTTTAAGAAAACATAGAATGTTTAATATTAATATCAGAAAAATATGGAGAGGTTGGATCATACTAGGTAATAATTTAATGAACTCTGGCAACCTACACTATTGCAAATAATATTTGGGCATATTTAATAACATATTTAGTGCTTGAATTCTGACTTACACAGGAATCAGAAGATGTCTGATAAAACCTTTAGAAAAGAGACTGAATCAACACACAAGCCTTATACAATTCAAACAAGCTGTAGGTGCCCGTATACACCCACTTCTCATTTAGCAACTACTTCGGTTAGTGACCATTTGCAAATATGTCGGTAATAAATGATAATAAAAAATTCCAACCAGTGTGCACATTTACAATCAAATTTTGTGTGCCTGACAACAACACACACTGGAGTGAGGGTAACACTGGTGTAGCTGTATGAGAGAACTTTATCTGAATGAGACTGCAACAACCATTGATCTTTGCAGTATCTTTCTCTCTCTCCCTCTCCCTCTTGAGCTCTCAGTCACATGTTCACTTAGTGACCATTTTGCTTAACAGCGTGGTCATTGGAATGGAAGTCAATTGCTAAACAAGGAGTGGATATGTGTGCATATCTAGAAACTTCTAAAATGTTTCATTTTGCTAAACAACAAAAATTCAAAATGCGTAGTTTAATACTTTTTTTTTAACTAAGAAAATATTGGAAAAGAGTATGCAAACTTGCATGTTTCTAGAACATTTTCACATTTTCTAGAACTTTTCATTAGGTGAACTTAGAAAAAACATGGAGTGGGAAAAAGCAAAGTCCAAACATTTGGCCAGATGTTCCAGCCATGTGATCTGCAATTCAAAGTCAGTCTCAAGATGGAGCTTATACTATAGTCTGAAATCTTAGTACTTAGGTATGGTTTTATACCTGAAATTCACCTCTTGTTACTTAACAAGAAATGGAAAGAAGTCCAGTTTATTTTATTGAAATCAATAAAGTGAACTATTAAAAGTCTGGGATCCATTCTAATAGTAATAAGCTGTATGTCAGAGAACATAGAGTTCTCTCCAATTATTAATCTATTGATCCCCATACATCAATATATTTATTTGATTTCTATCCCACCTTTGTTAAAACTGAAATATGACAAATCTCATTTCTTTACAATAATTCAATAAATATTTGAAGAAAGAAAACACAGAAATTGAATTATTGGGCTTCAGTATTGAGGATAATACTGTGAGGATTTTTAAAAATTTATATTACTTTAAGAAATTCTGTAAGAAATAGTACGTTGTTTAGAACTTCTAGCCCCTATATAGAGTTATGTATGTGTGTGTGTGTGTGTATGTGTGTATATATATATAAAAAACGTTTCATATATGTATTCTATAGTACAGTAAAGATTTCGCTGTTAAGCAACAGTAGAAGAAATGTGAATGTATTACATGGTTCTGGCACTACCAGTGTGTTAATGTGTTTCAAATATTGGCTTTGAACTCCTTTTGCTGGTAGGAAGACATAATAAAAAGCCCATTATTGGACATAATAAATGATAATACGAAAACCTCTAACATTCAGTTAGTTTGTGCAGACTAGATCTATACCTCTAACTCTTTATCTATTTAAATCTATAGTTTCTGAAACATTCCAGAAAAATATTATTGTCAGAATTGTTCAGTGGAAAATTCCCAAGTAACAATAGTACCAAATAGCCACAATTGATTAAAATATATAGAATGATATATTTTGACAAAGAATACATTATTAATGTGAGGAAAACCGGACTGAAAACGTTAGTTTTATTGTCTATTAATGTTTATAACTATACGTTAATTCCTGAATTACCTACAGTATATGGTTGGATTATAATGACATCTTTTCTCAGTTTTGTTTTCAACAGACTCAGGAAGGACCTTGTCGTGGTTCTGTTGCTCATAGCACATTATGCTATGCTAACGCTTCCTGTGCATGCTTTAGATACACTACACTGTGGACAATTCATTTATATCTAGACTGTGGTATTTTTCTGGAAAATAAATTGAAACTTACAGTTAGGAACACTGAGATAAATTATTTTATTATTAATGGATTTTTGACATTTTTGTGGCTCATACTCACTGTCAGTATGTGCCTTCAGGGAAGAGCGGTTTTAGAGACAGATGGAGAGAAGGAGAGGAAAGTACTATGTTTGAGGCTATTTATAAGCCAATACAAGGACATTCTATATTAGTTCTTCACTGAATAATAGCTGAAAAGCTGTCATCATGTTCCTTAGTAAATTCATTAATAGCAGATATAACAATATTTAAATCTAATAAAACTAAAAATGGCCTGATACTTGCCTCAAATTCACTAAAGTATGAAAACAATCTTTAGAGGAAAAATAACAGGGACAAACCTAATTATATTCACTATTATACTTTTATGGGTGGGAATATATCCTAAAAGAAAGCATAGGTAGGTTAAGTTTTCTTTAGAGTAATTTATATGTATTTCAGAATATCTCTGTAAATTAGATTAACTATTAATCTGATGGCTGATTTCATATAACTTCATTTTTATGCAGTGGAAACACTTTGAAGCACATAATTTGAAACTTATAGCCTGAATAATGGGATCTTTTTAAAAAGCTATATGAAAAATGTTCTTACTGTATAGTTTAATTATATGGAATTCAATTTTCTATTTTAAAATTATTGTTTTACTTTCTACGGTAAAAGTAAGTTGCATTGTACAGATATGCTATCCAAAGAAGAGACAGGATGTCCTGTTTAATTTGTATAATAAAGCAGGGATAATGTTCATACGGAAACTTTTTTTTAAAAAAATAAGGATTATATTTTTTTCAGTTAAGGCAATATTTAATATACTTAGGAAATAGTAACTTTTAGAACTTTGTAGAATTGATTAAGAAGAGTTGAGGGTATGAAAACTTAGTACAAGGAACTTTTGATCATGTGACATAACATTGTCAGTTTAAATTAACTACTGGATTAAACTTTAAACAGTTCCATTCCCCAGAAACAATTACAACTATTGTTTGTCCTTTTTCTCATTTTAATTTTTGAATATCCATAATATAATGGATTGAAAATATATTTAACAAGAATATGTTCTTTTAAACAGCAGACTGCAAATCAGATGCAAACTGATTCTTTGTCTCCATCTCCTAAGACTGTGTCACCAGTGCCTTTAAATAACCCTACAAGTGCCCCAAGATTTGGAACAGTCATCCCCAATCGCATCTTTGTTGGAGGAATTGATTTTAAGGTAATTTTGGTAACCGAATAACAGAGTAAAACTTTTATTGTAATAGAATTGCTTTTATATTCTTGTTACATATATCTAAGAATTTATTCTTATGATTTTATTGTCTGGTAGATAGATGTAGTAAATAAGGGTT